GGAAGCATGCCTAGCTATAATTTAGCCAAAAAGAATGAATAGCATTGGCTTAGCTACACAATTGTTATAAACATTGCAACATCTTGAAGAACGTTAAAATTTTAGAGTAACTCTTTTCCAAAGGGACTTAAAACAGCTTTGTAGTAGAAGAGAAAGAGCATTTCTCAAAACAGTAGATAGGCAGCTTTCAGGATGTATGACGATACTTCTTGGCTGAAGTATTCTGAAGCATTTGGAACAAAACCAAGGATGACCTAGGTACTATGACTATATACAGTCATGGTTTTAAGCAACCAAATGAAGTGGCCATGCAGTTTCTCATCCTCATACCCATTTTGCAAATAAAACTGACCCAAATTGACAGTTTGAAGATGACAGCCACGGTATCACATGAAACGCGAAACATATCCACAAACAAAAAGTCCAAGTTCCCAATATCCTTCTTTTGGGAGAAACAACACAGCAAGTTCGGTTAGATCACCGAAACAATTCAAAATTAATCCTATCCTACAGGCGAAGCTACCAGAAATTATTGGAAGCAGTAGTGTTAAAAGACCACAAGATTAGACAAGATTCACACAATGTCGTTTGTTGCACAAGACCCTGCATAGAGAACAGCTTGTCTTCTCCTAAGCTGGTATGTACGTAACTTCTCACAAATACTCTGTGGACCTCACTGTCCACATACTGCAGGTCAAGGCCAAAACTGCTGAACTAGAAGTGGGAAACTAGGCTAGTTGTAAAAAGGCAAGCTGTAACCCTTTAGGCACAGACATCTCAAAAGGTAAGCCTTCAGTCAAAAGGAAACCAGCATACTGGGATATAAAGTCAAAATAGGCTTAGCAAGTTCCTTTCACTGTGATTTAAAAGCCAGACAGTAGATGCAACAAACACTGACCAAAAAGTAACTGATAAAAAGTTTGTATGACAATGGCATTGCATCCTGTGTGACAAAACCTACGGCAATAATTTCAGTTGAATTGGAAAAGGAATGAGTTAAGGTAACAGATAAACCTTCTTTCAAGCTACTGAATCTTTATCGTGCAAATTCTACATAATGAGATCTCATGTAATCAACAGGAACTTCAGAAAATCTGTACAGATGTTAAAATCATGAAAGCAAAAACAAAGAAAAATTGAGGTATCTTGATAGGATAATCACAATCCAGTGGAAAACCAAACAGGAGGTAGTAAGTTTCTCTCAGGACTGATTTTTGGTTAGGAGGTATTAAATCTAGAAGTGGCTACACACAAGTTAATGAAATTGGAAAAAGAAAAAAAAGTCTGCTTTTACATATGACTAAGCATATATGGACAGAAAGCTATGAGAATGCCAGGGCCTCCACTGTGAACTAAAAGACAACTTTTGTTCATACCTGTATAGTAACTAAGGGTATCAGAAAATTATGGAAAAAAAAAATGCAGACAGCAAAAGCATAATTTAATGGTGAGCTTTAGACAGGCAAAAAAATGATGGAGTGGAAATAAAGGCATAAATTAAAAATACCTGTTAAAGGAGAGTCTAGAACTACTTGCTATTGTGGAGAAAAGTTAAAGGCCATACACCAGTGTATACAAAGTATGGATCAGAAAAAGTGATACAGAAATATTTGTCCGCCTTTCTCCACAGTACAAATAAGGTTCAAAAAAAAAGGTAAAAAACCACAAACACCTTCCATACAGTTCTACAGCACAGTTGCCAACTAATACACAGTCCAAGTCACAGATGCCGAAAAACTTGATTCAACAGTTTTCAGACAGGCTTAAAGTGAGGGAGAAACAAGTCAGAAATAAAAGTCTTCCTACCATGAAATATTCATAATCTTCCATATAAGTTTGCCTATTACTAAAGCAGACACAAGGCATGAAGTACCAGAGATCACCAGGAGTTCTTGCACAATAAGTTAGCAGCCACTTGCTAAACAATTTTTACTATTTCATATGTTCTGATTTAAAAAAAAAAAAATAATCACCACATTGTATAGCCTCCAGGCAGAACAGCAAATTGAATAGAAACTGGTAGCTATCAAATATCCTCCCTAATTTTAGTTATACAACACTGCTTCTTAGAGTTGACAAGAATAGGTAAGACTTGATCGTGAGCAATGGTTTAGGTTGTAACTTTTGTTCTCCCAATACAAAACATATTTCTAATGTATTAGTAATAAATATTAATTAAATTACCATAAATAATTACAACAGACAAAAAACACTCCATCAAGTACTGCCACGCTGTTTTTCTGGTAAAGCAGGTTACTGTCCCCCTAAAATTAATAAAAGACAAAGCTTGGATCATCAGGCAGATTTTTCATGCCCATTTTGCAGGAAGTCTGCCATACAGTACTTTCCGTGTGGCTTTAGATGCATCAGTGTCACAACAACAGAGGTTCAGAGCCTTTCAAACTCTCTCAAGATCTTAATCAATTTGAGAAGGATTAATAGCCTACGTTTCCTCTTCTTCCCAGCCAAGCAGCTTATGGCGAACCCTGAAGAAGATTAATGTTCTAACCACATTCCCAGTCTTCCCTCAGTTTCTTCTGAATTACTGCCCAATATGCTTCAAGTAGGCATCATGAAAAACTGCTTTAGTACAACAACACTGCAATACTCCTTTATACAGCTTTCACACCTTGGTACATCTAAAGTCATGATAGCCTATCTACTAACCTTCCACCATAAATGATGGTTTTGTCATTCCCTTGTCCTCCCAAAGAAGCACCCAGTGCATTTCCACAGCCTAACACAGAGCCTACAGTTTTAAAAGAGTTAAAATGTTGGATAAAATTACCTGTGGGTATAAAGATATATCAGATTTAAGAACATTACTACCTCTTCAGTCTTTAAATAAATTTCTACATTTTTCACAAAAGAATCTACTATCATTGTAGCCCCTTTTACAAGCAGGGAAGAACTGGAAGTGGTGAACAGAGAATAATCTTTTTCAAGATAAATCTGCAGGCTAAAAATAAAACCTTCATTCTACTTCGGTTCATATTTAAAGACCTTTAAACACTAAATTCTTTCCCTCATTCTGTAATAATATTAATAGGTGCCATCAAGTACAGAAAGATTTATTTTCTTCTTGCCAATCAGCCCAGGACCACTCGCTCTAGGTACACATTACAGGTCCATTTGGCCAATAAAAGCTGTACTCCATGTAGAGACTTTTAAGAGTATTTCAGAAATACGGGCTTCCCCTACAGAAGGCTTACCACCAGAACAAGCCAGTAAAGATCTAAATAATTACGTTTATAAGCAGAAACACTGCAATAAGTTTGCTCACTGTGCATATTAATATGTCCTTTTAAATCAAGGGGAGGAAAATAGGTTCAAAGTCTAAGTAGAATTATTTTTTATTGAACTCCTGGAACACAAAAAGCTTGCTCCAGAGGAATTAAATCTCTTCTATCAGTGTACTCTAACTTCACCAGACCAAAAACAAAATTAAGAATCTTCAAGACCACAAAATTAGGGATGGGATGAAGAAAGAAGATAAAATATCAACAATGAGAAATGTGAGACTGGGTACCACCACCTTTCATTTCAAGTACCTAAGTAAGGCACAAACAAAGCCCATGTAATTACCAGAGCCCCCCTTTCATATCAAATCAAGGTGTTAAGCATTTAACAGATACCAGTCTTGCTAACTTTTAAACAATCCTCTTAACACTTCACAAAAAAATGGTTTTAAAGTACTTTCAGCTGCTAAAACCAAAATCCTCACACTCTTTAAAGGAGCACAAGTGAAAACCTCCCACTCCCAGCTGAATTCACATCAATATCCACCCTGCTCCGTATGACAGTCACATGATTCTCAGATCCCTAATAACTCAAGGTCCTATTTACTAAGTCAGCAGTAACTGTCAACAGGTGGTAGAGAGAGGAAGAGAGTCTCCCAGACACAATTCATGCCTTAAATCAGACAGTATGTCAAGGTCAGACTATTCAGGCTAACTTTCCCCCTCCTGACAGGTCAGGAGGCCAAGGGGCAAAACAAAACACACGTACTATATGCAAGACTTGGCACTTTTCTCTGAATTCAGCTGCACAGTGCTAAAACCCAGCCAATTCAAGTGCATTAAATTCGCTACTAAAACCAAGAAATTTTATTACCAGGATAACATGCTAAAACCATGTATTACCATTCATTTTGTGCTAAATGCTACACATCACCACTCCTCCACTCTCAGTCACTGGAACTTTAAAAACTTTAGAGACCTAAAAAATATTTAAAGCATTTAGAAAGTAAAATTTGAAAAGCTAAATGACAGCAGTATTTCCTAACATGAAGAAAAGCAATCAGCGCAGCTACCAAAGGCGCTGTGTCACTCTTGAACACACAGCCGTTCCTACTGCAGGCACACTTGGTGTCTAACTGACCATGTTGCAGGGAACTAGTTCCCCCTATCAAAATAATACAAAAGTAATCAAATTGGAATTTTGACATGTTAGCTTTCTATGCAAGTAAAAGCCAACACTTAATAATAAAGGAACTGAATTTTAGGAAAAGAAAGTTTAGTTTAATTAATTCCTCACCAGTTGTTTAGACATACAGGATGAAATAGAAGCTTGGCAAGGTGCTTTTAAAAATTATACTGCTAATTTTCTACTTGGGTTAACAACATTTCCAAAGAAACGAAGCTTTCTGTTTTTAGGTTGAGACATACTGAAGACACCGAAAATAAGGCAAAGCATTAAGGCATGGGTCCACAGCAACCAGATAGCTTTTTTTTGTTTCTCGCAAAAGCTGTAAACATACACATCCATAAAGCTGTATTATAATATGCTTTCGAGAGAAGCTTGGAACATGCTGAAGAAGCAAGTACATTTCAATACCTACCTTGAAATTTTGAGACAAAGGCTCTGAAGAAAACATCACTTATATACCATTCTTACTGCCTTTTAAACAAACTATTTCATAATTTATATCAAGCTTTCCCTCTGACATACAAAAAAAGCTATTTGCCTTTGGAGTGCAAGTACAGTAAGAATCTACTTACCACAGCAAGCTGTGTCCGTGATGCTACTGTATGAAACACTGCAGGCATCATGAGAGATTCTTCTACTTTCAATTCCATCTCATTCTCTGCTGAAAACGTGGTTTTGGGGATAGCTGGTGGGCGTTCACACAAGATCATTTCTTTGTTGAATAAAAAAATTGGATTGGTGTCCTACACTCAGAAAGAAAATGAAACCAAAAACTGAGTAGAAGCAACGTACTGTTCAATATCCACATATTTCATCATGTGAGTAATGTGTTTTAAGAATGTTAAAATCTAAATGTATAAGCTGAACACAAACATGTTTCTTAAAGCTAAGAAATCCAGCAAAAAGTACGTTACAGAAAAATACTTTAAAATACTTTACTAAAACATCTCTTTTTCTCCCTATAACTGACAGTTTAGATGACGAATGCGGTATGCACTTACTGTTCCAGCACTGTAACTACATACTCTTCTGTCTGGTGCCATGCACTCTCCTCCATTGACAACCAGTACTTGGTGCTGAATAGCAATCTTGTATTTTGTTTGAATTGCATGTTTCAGATCAGCCACACTAGGAAAAAATGGGAAGAAAAGATGACACTATCATTATATTTGTGTCTCTAATTTTACATAATCCTGTAATACAAACAAGTGACTTGTCTGTACCAAAGCAAAACTATTTTTAAAGAACTATTACTTTTTATCCTGCAGAATGACATATTCCTAAGTTTAAGTACTGTAATGGGTTGCACTCTCGATACCCAGCTAATAAGCTATCAGCTAAAACACAGCCTCTGCATTACCAGTAACTCATCAGCAATCTTTTTCCAAGAAGATCTGATAACATGCTGAAATTCTGGATTAAGTCACATCAGGCATTTAGGATAACAACTGTGAAAGTCATATTATGTTCTCTGAATATATATTTTATGAACAAACAGCTGACTTACTGAAACTCTAGAAGACGACAAGAAGAATATTAACACTCCATTATGCATAACATAAGCACAATTTCACCTAATCAACTCTATTAAGTGCTGCACTACACTTCACGTACAGTAAATCAATAACAGAAAATTAAACGATCCATATATATGCAACAAATTATCATAGACACATTACAGACTTTTAATGCAGAAACAGTATATCAAAAAGCCATCCCTGTTTGCATTCTCCATCCTCCTACCTTTAATTCTGGGGGATAACATCTTCACGTTATCGCTTATCTTAGACAGTTCTACACTTCGTCTTGAAGACAGAGGCAAACAGCAAACTAAACAAGAATTTACTAACATGATACAGTAACTGACACAAACTATATAACACACTGAGGTGGTGCCTGTCCAAAGTTATTAAAAAGTTTCAGAGTATCAAGTCAATAATCAATAGAAACATCAATGGTTTTGATATGCAGGAGGCATAACAATGTTCCTGGCTATATGGTACTTGAAAAATAAAGATCAGTTACCTAAAATAATCATGATCCAACACGAACTCACTACAAACACCTCACAAGCACAAGCTTGTACTCATTAGCTGCATTAGAGTAAGCATTCACCTATCATCTCCACGGTCTTTGAGAAGACAGGCCTGTCCATGTATAAAGAGATAGGAAAAGAACCCAAGAAATTTAGTCCTGCTAGAAAGAGCAAATCTATACATACAGATACACAGAATAAGAAGTTAAACTGTTCAACTGAAAAGTCCTGGATTTTGTGTGGCTCACCTGCTGAAAAGCTGCTTTCTCAAAGAACTACCCAACTGACCAAAATGTCAGCCCCACATGAGGCTATTAGGTGCCTGGTCTGGCAGTTCAGATGCTGTACCTTGCCATGATGTAGGAACAGAATGCCCCAGCGTACCAGACATCACAGAGGCATGCTCACCCATCTGCAAGATGACCCAGTAGATCCAGAATGGCTGAGATAAAACACTATTTCATTCTCAGTAACACCCTGAGTGTCAGTGAGCTTTGCAGAAGAGCATACAAAACCACGCAGTGCGGACAGTCTTTGAGGCAGAAGAGCCTTAGAAGTTCCAAAAATCCAAATTCACTTGCTGAGTCATGAAAATTGCAAACAGGAGTTCAGGAAAAAGGAAGCAATGGATTTGAGCATAAAATCCATGGTAGAAGTCTTTCAAGCACCATTACTTGCAACTCATTCATCACTGACAGAATAGAAAGACAGCAGGTAAGGTTGGTTCTTACAACCTCCAAGATGTATGGGCTATTACAGTATTATACATGATTTACTTATTATATCAGAGTCCTACATGAGAACAAGGGAAGAGGATACCATACATCCAGTATATCTAGACATGTGTAAAAGCATCTTTATATTTGCAAGATGCTGTTAATGTACAGTGAAAAAATACAAATAACAAAGTTGTTGGGACTTCATTGAGATTCCGTAGTACTACCCATGTCTCAGGCATCTGGGGGGTTCAGAAGTTCGTATTTTACATATAAAATGCTGTAGAACATTTTGAAGCCTTACAAATAGGGACAAAAATCAACATTTACCCTTTTTACTACTGTCAGAAGTAATTCTGACAAGTTTTTTCCAAAAAGCACCAAACAACACCAGATTCTGCTATAGGCAGGTCACTGCCCACAAAGCACGTAACCTCTCCACCTTCATGGGATCTCCACTACACACAACCACCAGCAAGGCACTGAAAACACCAATCAAAAAAAAAAAAAAGAACACCAAAATTCACTCAAATACATGGAAACATAAAAGATAACTACATGGACATACTAAAAAACAACTAAGTATCTATCTCATGTCTCCAGAACTCAGTATACAAAAAGTATATATACACTTCTCTTAAAATTTAAAAAACAAACAATATGCAATTAATTTATTTTCTTACTTTTGTACAGCAAGTTCTGTGTCAAAGGTAAGGGTAGTTCCAGTGTTGACCAGAAATACATATAGCTTCATGATGATTTCTTGAGGTCTCTGAAGTTTGTAACTTTCACTGGTACAATCATTTAGAAACTGAAAAAAAATTCAAGTGTTAGTTTCACATACCAGTTACAAGAAGACAAGTACATGCTCTTGAAAAAACAATTTTAGATATATAGTGGGTAAATACATCAGCTCTCGTACACGTTGCCTAGAGAAGCTGTGGATGCCCCATCCCTGGAAGTGGCTTTGAGCAACCTGGTCTAGTGGAAGGTGTCCCCTGCCCATGGCAGGGGGGGTGGGACTAAATAGTCTTTAAGATCCCTTCCAACCCAAACAATTCTGTGATTCTATGGTATTCCACAGTTCTTTATCCCTTACTAAACATACAAATGCTCCACTGAATGATGGGCACAGTAAGCCTCCACATACGCAAATGGTAAGGAGAACACATCAAAATAAACACCGAGGAGAATTTAAAAAAAAAAAAGCCAAAACAAGATGGCTTTCATTTGTCAAGGCCACCATCGCAGGTCATTACCTGTCTCTTCTCAACTATGAAATGCATTTTTAAAGCCCTACTTAGTTACTTCCAGAAATCTTTTCCAGATTTTACAAACAGCAGCATTACCTATGCTGCAAGTATTAATTCCTCACAGCTACAAAGTCTATCTGCTCACTGCTATTCCTATCCATACCTTAGACATATAGAAGCATTAGCAAAAAATAAAGACCAAAATTATCAAAAGCTATGTAGATTTGTTTTGTATCTCTCCATAATTAACAGTTTTAATAATAGTTTAATTAGTTTAAATAGTTTTTAAAGCTATTTTCCTCTGTTTTCAGCACTAGCCAAATCTGTAGCTACCTCCTTCGTCACTAATAGCAAATATGGAGTAATCAAGAAAGAGTATTCCAACAGACATTTTCAGTCCAGTGCCCTGCAAGCATCTGTATAAGTGACAATAAGCACATGTTTTTCCAGTGTATATAATAGATGAAAAGCATTGAACTGCTCTGTAGATTTTACAAGAGCCTGTAGTGATAGGACAAGGGGTAACGGGTACAAATTGAAAACAGGGAGGTTTATATTAGATATCTGGAAGAAATTCTTCAGAGAGGGTGGTGAGGCACTGGAACAGGTTGCCAAGAGATGTTGTGGATGCCCCCCCCTTGGCTGTCTTCAAGGCCAGGCTGGATGTGGCTTTGAGCAACCTGGTCTAGTGGAAGGTGTCCCTGCCCATGGCAGGGGGGGTGGAACTAGATGATCTTTAAGGTCCCTTCCAACCCTAACCATTCTATGATTCTATGACATGTCATCTAAGATTTTATCACTGAAATACTCCAAGTCTGAGCCATTTTTTGTTTTCCTTCACAGGCACTCAGAGGTTTATGAGTAATTTCCCTCACACTAACAAAGCTGCTGCAGAAGTACTACTAGCACTTCAGTCACTAATGACCCGATTTCTTTTCATGTGGAAGAAGTTATGAAAAGTTGAGCTGTAAAAGTTTTAGCCACTCAGCAATATTCTTATATCATTACAGAAATTACTTTTTGAAATCAATTAGGTCTAAGGAAACAAGCTCCTTTCCCTGAAATGTGAATAGGGGACACACAATGTCTACAGAGCTAACTGTATTATTCTAAAATGAGTCTGAATTTGCATTTTTCTCTTTGCCTACAAAGAGAAAAATTGACAAACCATAAAGGAAAGTAACAAAAACGTCATTAAGTGGGGAGGGAGAAGAGGCTTTACCAGAATAATTCCAGAAAGTCAAAAGAAGTTTCTTTCAAGAGAGTGGTTTTCCACACACCTTTCAAGAATTATAGTACATAAACTAGTCAAAACATGTATTTTCACAATGAGGCCTCAGAAATAGAACCATATGAAATAAACTACAGTGAAATAATTCGATCTGAATTTAGTATTGTTGTCCTTACACTTGAACTCTACTGTACTCATGGCACCAGTTCCAATTTATATTGGAAAGAACATACTCTATAAACAAAGTTATTAGACAAAAACTGCTGAACACCAAGAACAAGCTAGCAATAATTTGTTACTAAGTTCTTGGGCCTAGGTTTCAGAATCGATCAGCCTCATGCATACAGAGAGCTTTCTTTTCACAAAGGGTATATTAGTGACCATGGTCCAGGTAAATACTACAATGCTTAAAGTAAGCACCATGGACACACACCAAAAAAAAAGCTCTTTTCCACCTAAGCAGAATAAGAGGTTTGTGTAGCATCTAGTTTCATAGAATCATTACTTTCAAAGCTGAAGAGATATTGAAGAGACAATCTGTCCAGAAACCTCATGCACATAAAGTGAAACTGTAACCAAGCATTTCCCCCTCCATACTTTAACACTAAAGCTAACTATTTAAAACAGAGAAAGAAAAAGCATTATCAAGATCAAAAGTATTTATGACAGCATCTACCACACATGCACTAGCAGTCTCAAGCTTTTTAACTTCAAGCAAAGAAAGAATTACCTTCAGGCACTACACAAAGCTACCACCTTCATCAAATTCAACAGGAGAATAGAAGTGCACATTCACTTTACTTGATTTTTGGCAACAGAGCAGCATGGCTGTTCAAAGCCAGAGAAGATCTGCCAAGAAAAGATACAGAATGCAATTACAGGTATTACTAAAATGTCAAGATTTTATGGTTAGCATTACATCTACCCCAGAAATCAGTGTATGCCAATGCCAGAAAGAATAATTATGCCTTAGTTTGGGGTTTTTTTAATTAACAGTGCTATCCAGTTACAAGTCTACTCAAAACTGCTACATACCTGAGTATTTTTGCCAATAAATTTGGTTTCAAACAACTGTTAGTAATATTCTTTGATATTTACAAGGACACAAATTTAGTCCACTAAAAAGAACTGACTGCATTTCCATTAACTGAAAGTATTTTTCAGAACTGGTGCAGAATGCTGATATGAAGATGCTAAAAGCAACAGAAACTCATAACAAAATGCAATTTATCTAAGAAAATCCAGAGTAAAGAGGCAGACATGTTATTGCTGTTGAATCAATCTTACCCTGCAGCTGTATCTAACAGATTCCTTGAGGAATCAGCATCACCTTCCTTACCTGGAACAAGGTAACCTTGTCATCCACCTACTTCCAAAGTATTTGTCAGATTTTTTTTTTCTTTTTAAATAAACTGAAGATTTTTTTTTTTCTTTTTAAATAAACTGAAGATGTTACCATTCCCAGCTGCCTGTCACTGGCATCCTTGCTAGGGGGCTTCCTCTCCCAGAACTGCTGTTTAAACTACAATGGAAACTACAACAATCAAAACGAGCCAGATCAGCAAGAGTGGTCTTTTTAGGCTACCCTAGTTGATTTTAACTGTTGTCAGTTAAGCAGCAGTGCCAGAGGAGAAGGAACCCTTGGCAAGGAAGGCAGTGATGAGCAGTTGGGCTCAGAGCAGTGAGGCAAGTACACAGTCAAACTCTGAACTGCAAACAAACATTATTTCTAACATGTTAGTGCCCTAGCAAGCTTTCCGAGAAGATGATCAGGCACTATAAAGGGTGATAATCCATTACTAAAAATAGGTTTGCTGAAGCCTGAAAACCCTTAGAACGTGTAAATCATTTTATACAACTCGTGCTACCAATAGTAAATCAAAAACACTTCGTCCCAAATTTGAAAACATCATGAGAAAGGAGAAAAAATTACACAACTACTCTATGTATTTTATGTGCATGGAACAGATGGCACATTGTTAGGCCATTATTTGAGCTATTATCTTCCTCCCTCCTGCACAGTCCCTCTTTCCTCCTATGCAAAAGGCACACAGACCACTTTGTCAGAAGCAAAGATAAAAAAACAACGTGTTTAAGTACAACCACTGGAAAACCAGTAACTGATACATTCTCTTCTAGTTTAGCTATCAGCAGTCAGTAGTTGTACTTGACCAAAATAAATGTATGAATGCTTGCTTTTGATTTAAGTAACATACATTAACATGAATAACAAGAAACTAATTAAACACTTCAGCCACAAAGTAGGATCACAACACTATAATCTCTGTTCTTCTAATTCCTTCACAACCTTTAAGAAGTCAAAACACAAGTGTTTCTTCGACTGAACATTTCAATAATCAATCCTGGGGTAAAAGTACACTTATACAGGCAGCACAAATTTGTATGGTCTCAATATTTAAAGAAAAAAGAAAAAAAAACAGTACAATTCACCCACTCCCAAGGTTGCCACGAATTCTACTAGGTACTTCCAGGAACAGAGGAATTCTGTGAAGCAATGTCTCAGAGAATCATAGAATGGTTTAGGTTGGAAGGGACCTTAAGTGTCACCCAGTTCCAACCCCACTGCCATGGGCAGGGACACCTTCCGCTAGACCAGGTTGCTCAAAGCCTCATCCAGCCTGGCCTTGAACACTTCCAGGGAGGGGGCATTCACAGCTTCTCTGGGCAACCGGTTCCAGTGCCTCTCTATGAAAAACTTCTTCCTGATAACTAATCCAAATCCACCCTCTTTCAGTTTAAAGTAATTACTCCCCAGTTCTGTCACTACAGGCCCTTGTAAAAAGACATCCCCCAGCTTCCCTGTAGCCCCTTCAGGTACTGGAAGGCTGCAATAAGGTCTCCCCGGAGCCTTCTCTTCTCCAGGCTGAACAAGCCCAACTCTCTCAGCCTGTCCCCATAGCAGAGGGGCTCCAGCACTCTGAGCATCATCGTGGCCTCCTCTGGACTCGCTCCAGTCAATACCCTTATTTTGTTGAGGGCTCCACAGCTGGACACAGTACTCCAGGTGGGGTCTCACCAGAGCAGAGTACAGGGGCAGAATCCCCTCCCTCGACCTGCTGGCCACACTTCTCTGGATACAGCCCAGGATACAGTTGGCCTTCTGGGCTGCCAGCGCACACTGCCGGCTCATGTCCAGCTTTTCATCCACCAGTACCCCCAAGTCCTTCTCCTCAGGGCTGCTTTCTATCCATTCTCTGCCCAGCCTGTACTTGTGCTTGGGATTGCCCCAACACAGGTGCATGACCTTGCACTTGGCCTTGTTGAACTCCATGAGGTTGGCAGTGGCCCACCTCTCCAGCCTGTCAAGGTCCCTCTGGATAGCGTCCCTTCCCTCCAGTGTGGTCAACCACACTACACAGCTTAGTGCCATCAGCAAACTTGCATAGGGTGCACTCAATCCCACCATCCATGTCACTGACAAAGATGGTAAACAGTAGCAGCTCCAACACTGACCCCTGAGGAAGTCCACTCACCACTGGTCTCCATGTGAACATCGAGCTGTTGCCCACAACTCTTTCAGTGCAACTATACAGCCAATTCCTTATCCACTGAGTGATCCATCTGTCAAATCCATGTCTCTCCAATTCAGAGACAAGGATGTCATGCAGGGCAGTGTCAACACTTTGCACAGGGTACATCATGTCAGTTGCTCTTCCTTTATCCACCAAGGCCATGACCCCATCATAGGCCACTCAATTTGTCAGGCACAATTTGCCCTTGGTGAAGCCATTCTGGCTGTCACCAATCACCTCCTTATATTCCATGTGCCTCAGTATAGCATCTGGCAGGATCTGCTCAATGATCTTGCCAGGCAGAGAGGTGAGACTGACTGGCCTGTGGCTCCCTGAGCCTTTCTTTTTTCCCCTTTTTAAAAATGGGGTTTACGCTTCCCCTTTTCCAGTCAGTGGGAATTTCACCAGACCTGCCACGTGCCTTTAAAAGCTCTTCTGCAGATTCACTGGTGCCCAATAAACACAGTCTGCAGCCCACCCATCAGCAGGAGCTATGTCAAGTGCCTCTCTCCAGCTGCCTGTTACCACAGCACTAGAAGAAACTGAATTTTGAGAGCTCTCCCTAGTCTTGCATCTCCAGACAAGATCTGCCTGAGTCTGGCTAACAAAGTCCCAGATTAGTTAAAGGAAGAGATGCATGAAAAGCAGTTACAGTGACTAAATCTCTTTCCTTTCAAAGGTGAGGTTACAGCTGACTATTACAGACAAGGTCAGCTACGTATCACAAATTATCCTTTAAGTTTCTTCCCAGTATTCAAGAATATTTTGACTTAGCAGTAACACAAATTTTTAATATAAGCTTGGAGTGAAAGTCAGGCACCAAACTTTGAAAGAATATACCCATGAACACGTACATTTTATTTTTCTTTTGTTTGCATTACCTCAATGGGCCATTAAGAGAGTCTCAGGCTTCTTTAGAAGTACACTGTTACATGGTGTTACAAGTTTCAAGCTTTTTAGCGTTACATTGCTGAAATTATTATAATTCATTTTAAGAGGTTGAATAATTACCAGATTTGATAACTACTGGAGACAGAGCTGCTAACTCAGACAAACTGTAACAAAATGACTAATCCACCTAGATTATTTGTTTGAACTGTGTTACCTGCAGCATTCCATCCATGCTACCATGTAGAATAGATCCTCCACATTATAGGATGGAAGCTTGTATGATGAACAGCTATGAATTATCAGTAACACCATTTTAAAAAATAGCTGAAAATTTGAAAAGGAGGTTTCTGTAGCAGTTGCCAGAGCAGAGAGAAGATGGCAGAAACAAATACAAGAAGATGACAAAAATGAAAGAACAGCACAAAGTACATAAAGCTTCCAGAATTAATTCAGATGTGTATTTTGTTACATTAGCTAACAAAACACCAAAACCAGACATGAATACATGATGCTACTTATAACATTTATTTCACTGTTCTACACTGTGTTTACATTGCAATGCAATTACCACATCTGCTTCACTTCATTAAAGTATTGCAAGCTTTTCCTATCCAGTGTAAGCTTTTCAACAATTGAGTACTTCAGAAATCTACGTTGATCCATTCTTTCAATGCACACTGTTCAGAAGTTTTGAAGTGTTCTTCTTTAGTTCGGAACATGCTCACAGTCACATCTGTAAAAGGAAATGAATGTCTGTTTACAGACCTTTCCTTTTCGTAATTACAGCACAAGGCATCACGGCTTTCACAGCACTGCACAAATAATCCTACGGCTACATTAACCATCCATTTCTGCCGTTAAGTGCAGAATCCACACTCCATTATCCGATTCCGACTGTTCCACTGTTCCATGGTGCAATTCTCTCCAGCTTCACAAACTCAAACACTGACATAAAATGGCATTCAGGGTAGGACAAAACCAGAAATCAGCGTTTATTTATGCCGTTTTGGTTTAAAGAGGCATTATCAACTTCACTTTAGATATTGGAATACTATAAAGGAAACAAGTTTGTGCACATTTTTGACATCTCATTTCCCATGCCTCCTTTATTAACTGGATTACAAACCATACTTAAGTAAATCAAATAATGAATACATTTTTCTTTAATTCCCCTGGAATTAAAATTGAGCTTTGCCAAAGTCATGGCTTTCCTTTAAGCCCAGTATTTAAAATTCCATCTTCTACAACAGCAACACACCAGCAATATAAGGTATCTCTTGCTTGTGCCTGGCAAAGTACTGCTTCACATCTGCACAGTAAGTGCTGTACATATCAAAGTTTCATCTCCCAGGTCATAGAGGATGGGGAGGCCCAAACTCCGCCTTCACCCCCACATGCCATGTATACCTCCCAGTTGGAAAGGATTCA